CTGATACAAATTATGGCCTGGTTTCTTCAGCTTAGCTTAGCTTCATTTCATTCAGACTAACACATCCTCCATTCTTTCTCAAGCCTGTTTATTCAGCTTGAAATAGACTGCGTCCAATTTTCTGTCCAATTGCCCTTCCACATTAGTATTATTTTGGCTCATATAGTTAATTAATCAGACTACAGGAGTGTCTGCATGTATTTGTTCATATGTACTACCTGGTCACCTCTTAAAATAAATTTATAGACTCAAAAATACTGTTTTAGTCAGTTTATTAATTGACAAAACACATCAAGAAATACTTTCAGGAGCAACACGTCAAGAAATACTTTCAGGAGCCTTAGGCACTAAAAATACTGGAATGTAATTTTGAAATTATTTTTACGGGCAACTGGGAACAGATCCCAGTTTCCACACAAAAAGATAGCATGCACTCATACAATCCAATTGTATCTGATGTGTAAACATTAAATAAACTTCACTTCAGAGATAATCAGATTTGAAACTATTATGTGGGGAAAGAAGCCCACTGAAATTTCAGGCAAGAGAAACTGACATTTGGGCACCAGGTAAGAGCAGATTTTTCTGGAATACAGAACAGAGACTTTTATGGGATGAAAGATCACAATGGAAGTGATTTTTATTACTGTTATTAACTGAATCCAGTTATTGGGTTGAAACAGAAGATGCAAGGCCAGTACCACAAACCATCACTATGTAGTTAATCCCTCCTGATCCATTAAGTGACTGTTCAGCTATGTTAATAATTTCATCCAGACATAACCACTGGTTTTATTTCTTGGGTTTACTAGTCCTGCAGTGATCTTCTCAGGTGTCTGAAATCTTCCCTGTACTTCTAAAGCTGAGACTACTGCTTGCACTACACCCAGCAGCTTTTGCTTTATTGCTCTCTAAAATTTTTTCCTGTGACCATTGCTGCACTTCTTTTTACATCTTTAAAGCCAGTACTTCACTTGAAATAGACTAAAACATGTGGGATTTTTCTGCATTAAAATCTGACATAAGTTCCAATGTACACAAAACAGAAGAGCTGCTGATTCAGATTCATTTCAAAAACTGTTCCAAGGATGAACGATCTAATACACTGTAAACAAAAAACCAAAAAAACCCAAAACAAAACAAACAAAAAACCAACAAAAAACCAAACCAAAACAAAAAAATAACCAAAAAATAACCAAAACAAAACAACAAAAAAAAATACAAGCTGAAGATTAAAAAATCCCAAACTCTTATTTCTGTAATTTGAAAAATGGCAATTTATATAAATCTTAGTTGATACCTGCATCAGAGGTTCCTACTCTGGCTGAAACTGTGATAATGTAGGCAAGAAATTTAACCAATACTGTAACAAGTGCTGAGTACTAACATTAGTTGGTAAACTACTCCTAACAGAGAAATTACCACCGACATTCAGCTCTTTTCTTAAAAGCAAACGAAGTTCAGATAGTAAGTACCTCACTATTTAGCAGTTTTTCACAGTTCATTTTTTCACAACAATCATTTGGGATTGTAGCTTTTTTACTTGTCACAATAAAAAAATATACACTAGTGAGAGTAATTTGTATGATAATTAGAAAAATCTACAAACAGATCTGAAAAATACTGGTAAACAATTTACACAACTTTAAACCAATATAAATGAAATTCAGTGAGGAGAAAGAAACTTTTAATTTTTTTATTAAAAATAATATTTCATAAAAATACAGGACAAAATAATTCTCAGTAGAAAGTAAAAAATTAAACTCCAATTTAAATAAAATTTTAAAAATCTCACAGAATCTTTATATGAATGAAATAAACAAAGATAAATTAAAAAAAATACATTGCTTATAAACTGAACATACTCTTGCATTTTCAGATTTGATCAAAAGAATACCAGAGTATTTCCTGTTTTGATATTATTCAGTCATTCACCTAGTACATTACCATTCGGTCATAACCAGTGTTAGACTTCATAATTTTCAGCAACTCCAGTAGGAACTTCCTTCAGCTTTACTTGAAAACAGTCAAGATCAAACTAAGAACAAATGAATAAAATTCAATCACATAGAAAATTCAGAATGCTAGTTTACAAAAATCAGTCCTACTTTTCTGCCTGTTAAAGAGACAGAGTGATAAGTTTCTGTCTGTAGATTACTGTGATATACAGGTATTAGTCCTGGGAATATGCATAGAAATACCCAGAAATGCACAGACATTATAAGTTAAATTTTGTATTTTCTAACTTGAAAACTACTGTAAATATAAGTTATTCTTACAGTTATACAGTTGATACTTAGATGGCCCTTGTTTCAGTAAGTGGCTTTAACCACTCTGCCATAGTCTTGCCAAGACACGACATAATACTGGACAATTTCAGCAGAACTGGAATCCTAGGCCTTATGCAGTCCACAGATACAAGTATTTCAATGCCTCCCAAGCTCAAATGCTCAGCCACTGAGAAAGTAGGACAAAAATCTTTCGAGGAACATTTTCTGAAGTGTCCAGTCACATTGTATGTTGCCTAAGTATGGGCACTGTATTTAGAATACCTATTCTTCCCAAAACCAGTTTCTAGCAGCATTCAGCATTGTACTGTTACTTTCGAGATCCTAATACTTCAACTCATTTAGAATTAGATTTAACTTACTAGTGGGACAAAATCACCTCCCTCAACCTGCTGGCCACACTTATGATGCAGCCCAGGGAACAGGTGGTTTGCAGTGCTGAAAGCACACATTACCAGGTTGTGTTGAGCTTCTCATTAACCAAACAAGGTAACCTGAACAATGAAATATCCTGGATTCTGAATGTGAATAACGATGTGATTTGTCAGGATCTGCTGATTTTGGTTGAGGTAATTTTCTTCAGGGTAGCTAATGCAGGGCTGTGTTTTGGCTTTGTGCTGGAGGAGTATTGGTAACAGGAATTTTCTCCTTACAGCTGAGCCACAAAGAAACACAGTGACAGGGCCTTTTTTGCTCCTTACACCATCCTTACACAAGGAGCCGGGAGGGGACACAGTTGGGATAGCTGACCCCAACTGACTCCCAGGATATTCCATATGACATGGTGTCACGCTCAGCAAATAGAGCTGGGGGAAAGAGGAACACATGAATGTTTGGAGTGCTGGGGTTTGCTTTCCCCAGTCACTGTCATGTGCACTGCAGCCCTGATTTCCTACAGCTGGCTGGACACCTGCCTGACCAAGCAAAGCAGTAAATTCTTTATTTTGCTTTACTTGCCTGAATGGCTTTTGCTTTATCTATCAAACCTATAGATTGTCTTTATCTTGACCCAAGAGCTCCACATGTTTACTCTTCCAATTCTCCCCCTCATCCTGTTGTGGGGTGGGGTGGGAAACAACTGAATGGCTCTGTGGTGCTTCATTTCTGGCTGAGGTTAAACCAGGATACATGACATTCCACTTTGTGTTTTATTAACCATGTACTTACAAACCCATGAATCAAAATAATTATCAGGAATATCTGAAGAACAGCTCAGAACATATTTTAAAAGTTATGTATGTTAATAAAGACTGATGTATAGAAAATTTATTCTTAAAACTCCACATGTATGAGAATTCAAGACTCATAACTGCTCAAGACTGAAAATGTTTGTGTACCTGAACTACAGACCAGCTGAGTGACAGAACTTCTCCTTAAAAGCAACAAATCAGAAGACAGATTTGCAGACATTTAATGCATCGTCTTTTATTTTAGACATCAGCATTTTTCAAATCAAATCTCAGATCTCTGATTATGAGAAGATAGCAAGTTAACATTTTTAGGTCCTACCAGAAATTATCCCACACTGCAAATAAACCAGCTACTTTCAAACGTTTTCAAGGAGGAATTCATTGGTTCTTTAACTCTTTGTGCCTCTCAGGAAATCAAATATTACCAAATCAGAAGATAATATTCATGTCTCTCAATATAGCATGTGTTTTTCTAATATTATATTAGGATGAAATTTAACACTAAGATTTTTTAAATGCATAAAAATGACAAACACTAATCAATCTCAAAAATGCAGTTTCTACTTAAACAAAGAATCTTAAGGAAGACTTGGAGGGAAAAGAAGCAATGGTTCGAAGGATTCAAGAATTTAAAGGTCTGAAAGATTTCAAATTGGTTCATAAAAGTCTGATTTTTCCTGACAAAACAACTTATGCTGAGAATTAGTTTCAGAAACATTACTTGGAGAAACTAATAACATGATAAGGTCCTTCAGTTAAAATTAAGAAAAAAATTACTTTTACCATTTTAGAGGCCTCTCATTCAAAGAATAAAGTTTAGTACCTCCTAAAATATTAAGTCTCCCCAAATTCTCCCCTTTGTCCCCCAAATACTTAGAAAAGGGACAGAAATGAACTAGCAGACTTAATCACGTTACAAATTGATTCCTAACGTTATGATGAGTAGGAGACTGAGAAAAAGTAGATTTCAAAGGAAATCAAACAATATGGAAACATCTGAGAATGTGAATTTGTGAAATTAGCACTCATGGCGGTGCAGGACACGGCTGCCGCTCCTGAGGCTGCTCCAGCGGCTGCTCCCAGGAACTTGCCATCCCACAGCAGCATCCCTCAGCTGCCCAGCAGCCCCAGGAACCACTGGCACCCTTTGTAACTAAGGGTTCTGCTTCAGCTTGGTGCCCCATGCACGATGCCATTCACTGACACAGCAGTACTGGGAAGCCGAACACACAATTGTATGCTCCATGGTGAATACACCAGAAACAGTTAAATTCTTGGTTCTCTTTCTGAATCAGGTTCAGAACTGTACAACCTGCTCCAATAACTGATTAGCATTAAAAACTTCAAACTACGTTTTGCTCATGGAACATATAAATACTGGCACAGAAAATGAAATATGATTTCCCTGTATATCCCAGAGACTAAAATGTTGGGGGGTGGGAGGGGGGAGGTGGGGCTGGGGCAGGGGCAGGGGAAGGAAAAGAAATAGAGCCATTACTTTATTATGTATATCCACATTCGTTTAAATTTCAAACACTGCTCCAGCCTTTTCACACATTTCCTCAAGTTTCTTTTTGTTTAAATATTACTGACAATATGCCAAAATTGCCAATATCCCTTGAAAGAAAGTCTAACCTCACTACAACTGGCATGAGGGAAAAAAAAAAGGAAAATGACTGAACATGAGGCTTGAAATTTAAGATAATAAAACATTACATCTATTTTTAAAAGGACAGGAAAAGTAAAGTTGGATCAAATATTAGATGTTTAAAAAAGTTTAAAGTTCAAGTGATTTTTAAAATATATATTTTGGAACTTTCAATGGATCATCAATATCTGTTAATTCAATAAAGGGACACCTAGCATTGGCAGCAATTGACTGTAAAAGAGTTGATCTGAAAATTTTTTGCAAATACTAGTCATGAAAAATCCTGCCCTTCTTTTTTTGTAATAATAAGTAACAAATAAACTATTACCTTCTGCACAATCTATACATATAAAATCCTGATTCTGCATCTTTTATTGTGTCCTGCTGCATGGCTGCTGTTTAAGGTGGATCCTAGTCCTGTTAGACTATGCAACAAACACAGTAAGCAGCGTAACTGGGAACACTGATCTGTGAATTTCTCCTAGAAATCCACAGTAGTTTTCACAATCATCTTACATTAGTATTTGTTTAGATACAGAGGGCTAAAGTAAGTAAATAATTTTTCCAGATACAGGAAGACCAAGCTGGTACTTTGGAAATAGTTATCATTTTACCAGATCTGAAAGATGCTTTCTTTGGTTAACTTCTTTCATACTTAAACAAGCTATCTACATCAACATAGTACTCTATTAGTTAGTAGCAAATCTATATTTATGTATAAATATTTATAATCACTTTTATTTTCAATATACAAACACTTAGACCAATTCCAGCTAATCAAGACAAAAGAAAAGTAAATATAAAATTTTTAACTTTATTGACAATATACTCTTCTTTATGGTACACTATTATAACTAACTATAACTAACTACCTCTGTAATTTTTAAAAGTAATCATTCTAGTATTTGCACCAAGCAACTTCCTTGTTGATTATTGCTGATTCAAATCCTTGGGATTTAGGGAAAACATGCTTTGTATCTGCATAGTTTACCCTGAAATACTTAGTCCCTCTCACTGACATAAATACATGAACACTTTTCATTAACGTATCTAGGCCAGAAAGTAACCATAAACCATAAATTGTTCTCTATGTAAACACACATTTGTGTGCCTTTACGAAACCTCTCCGAGAAAGGTTTAGGAAGTACTCTGCTTCAGCTTTAAATATAATCTTTAATAGTGCAGTGCTGCAGGATTACTTCTACATATCAAATTACTGGCAGAATAATGGAATTTTAAACATATGTTGCAGGAAAAAAAAGACATTATTATCTAGACAGACCTATTGATAAGAAACTTGAAAAAAAATTAAAATTCAAGGCAGAAAAAGACACTTAGTGAGAAATCTAACCATCAATGTAAACTTCAGTGCTTCCTACACCAAAAATAAAAAAGAAAGAAAAAGGAAAAAAAAGGTAAAAAAAAAAGAGCCAGTATCAAACTGGATGAAGACTCCATTCCAGTTGTTTGCTTTTGGTATTAATCTCAAAGACAAAAGGAATCTCTCTGGAAAGCTAATTTTAAAGTAAATAAGCCTGAAGTTTAATTGTTTAACTTGTACTAATTTCAGAATAGAATCAAGACCATAACTAAAATAATGCCCAGGTCACACTGTGATGCCTACAACTGGATTTTAATTGACTTAAAGACTGTCATAGTCCTATTATCATAAAACCTGTAATGCACTTCCAGCATGGAGGACCCATCTGTGCCCAGCATCCATCTGTTTAAACATGACTGGCAAAGTGGTAGGGAACTCGCAGTGGTCGCCTCTGCCTGAAAGGAATAAACCACAGGATCTTCCAATGAGTGCCAAAAACTTCTGAGAAGGTCTGCTGCCATGGCTTTCGGGGCCTCGATCTACAGAAGACAGCATCATTAGTGAAAGACAGCATGCTCACAGTGCATTTCAGTCAGCTACAACAATGTAGGTTGGCTGGGGTTCCAATACTGGACTCTGATGAATTGTGTCCAAGCACCAGAAATACAACTTTTATTTCATTATGACATGCAGCTGAGACTTAAGTTTGGAGAACAGAAACTGTCTGTGTCACCAATCAAACAAAGGCACCTTTTGAAGCACAGGGAACCTCAATATTAATGAAATGTATGTCAAAGCACTGCAGAAAGTATCTTTTGATCTGTACTTTTGAAAAGAAAATATAGTTCCACTGGCTTTGGGTAGGGAAAGAAGGGGAACAACATGAGGCTATTTTGTGTACAACCACTATTAAAAGATTAGTGAGGTGCTACTAGAGATAGGAAGTACAGAGCACCATACCATGCAAAATCGTCTTAACAGACAGCTACTCCCTTACCATTTCAACAATGTAGGAATTTTACAGAACTTACATGTCTTCGCAACAGTGTGACATTTTTTCTATACTTGTAGTGTCCTGTTAAAGAAAACAAAAACCACAGTAAAGTTGTTTTTTTTTATGTTACTAACCTTTAAAATGTCATTATGTAAGTAAGTAAATATAGCAGGGAATGAATTATTAATGTACACTGTTTTACGTTAGTTCAGTAGGCTGCATATTACACATATGCCATATCAGTTTTAAATGAATGTGAGATTAAACACATAGATTTAACTCAGTCTGTTAAACGATTTTACAAGCATGACATGAAACTATACTCTGTAGTTTGACTACAATACCAAAGAATGTCAACAAAAACTTACAGCCATATTACAGCTAAAAATAATTCAGATATTACAATTAATGCACAGGACATTTAGAAGCAATGAGGAAAAGGTCCACTCTTGCCATCCTTTCCACAAGCACTCATTCCAGACTTGGAGTATACCACTGAGATAGCCACAGTAAAAGCTAGTAAAATGCAGTCACTAACAGACGTAGTATTTTGAAAAGCAGGAGCTAGTCAGAAGTTTTAAAACCATTAGCTTCCTGAGTCTTATAATCCAAACAGCACAACTGAAAATATACCATGAGTTTCCACAGTTCCTACAATACCAAATACAAAAATTGTTCTCTTAAAATATAAAAGCTAAATAATGTGCAGAGTGAAGGCAATCCTGCAGCTAACAGCAACTTAAATTCATTCTTCAATTATAAAATGTTAAGAAAAGTAACAGATCAGTTTTATCTTAGAACACCCCCAAATAAAACTTAAAATTACCAATAGTACTTTTTTCTCACTTTTACTATGGATTTCACGAAAAAGCTTCCTTTGTGAGTATCATGTAGGGGTTTCAATACACATATATAGTTCATTGCATTCCAAAATCACTTGTGAAGTTCAAAACACTATTAATTGAAATATTCTTCATGATTTCAACTCATTTTCATTGGTAGCTTGGTATTTCCCTTTACTTTTCATTGATTCAGACATGCACTTAATGAACTTGTCAAATTACAATATAATTTGGGTAAGACCAAGAGCTAATCTCAATCGTCCCAACCACATACAGACAAAAGGACTATGGTTTAACTAGGCTGCAACTTCATCATCTGGAAACATTACCTAGCACTAAAAACCATACTGTGCTCCTTGAATGTTCCTGCATGCAATTCAGTGGGACTCCACCACTATTTTCATAAAGTTTTAAGGGGGAAAGGTGTAATATGGGTGGGAAATAATGTACAGGAAGCTGATTTCCCTGCTCCACCAGACATGGCTGGCCCAACCCCCTTTCCAATTTTTCTCCTTCTATTCTATTTCCCACGTCTGAAGTGTTTTGGAACAGGATCCCTTACCACACTCTAAACAGTCAAAACCTTAATTCTGTCCATGACCTATCCAGCAGGATGCTCAAGTTCTTGTCCAGAAGTTTGTGCAGAGAAGGCATGCCCAGTGAAGGTTACATAAACCATGCTGGCCCCATTGTTAGGTGGGTTTTAATGCCTACTCAGAAGTGAGGGAGGAAAGGACTGGAGGCAGCAAACTGTAAATACTGCTTCTTGTTTTGATTCCCAGATAAACTGCTGCTCCTCTCACATTACAGGCCTGTCTTCCCTCTGTTGCCCCAAGCATCAGTAAAGCTTTGAAAGACACAAGTCATTCGCCTTCTTGTCCTTATTACTTAACAGCACACCCAAGGAATACTTTGGTTCCTTGGACTGGCTTTTTTGTTCAGCTTTTGTCAGAGAAAACACCATCTTTGCTGACCAGAGAAATTAATGACTGGCTTTTTTGATAAAAAGGACTAAGTGAACAAGAGATTACTTCCTCAGCATTTCAGCAGGGTGGTAATAGCATTTTAATGAGAAGCTATAGCTCCTTTTGTAACAGAAAAAAATATCCCAGTTCTAGGAATTATTCTCTGGTCAACTCAAAGCTGTTTATCAAATAGTATAAAGAACTGCCATATTTGAAAGCAGTAATGGCAAACTGGTCTTTTGTAAAACAGTAACATGCGAATCCACACGCTAAATTGACTTGTAGTTACAGAACATTTATGCTACCATTTCAGAAGAGAGGCCTTTAAACCAGCTTTAGTTCCAGAAGTAACATCTTAAACATGGCTTTCTGCTATGTTTCTGCACATTGCTTATTCATCAATACACTTGTACTGCTCCCTAAAATACTGTGGTTTAGATTTTTGGGGGGAAAAATCATAGGTTGGAAACTGGAGATTGTATTTTGTTTTAAGTCTTGTCATGACATGTTATCAAGGTTCCGAACCTGAAAGGTTCTCAGGAGGGTCCACTCCCCTCAAAATTGTAACCTGTTAAATTAACTAATTAATTTAAATTTAATTTACCTTAATTAATTAGGGTAAAGCACCAAACCAGGAACAAATTAACTAACTTCCTTTCCTTTCCCTTCTTTCCCTTCCTTTCCTTTCCCTCCCTCCCTCCTTTCCTTCCTTCTTTCCACACTTCCTTCCTTCCTGCCTTCCTCTCCCTTCCTCCTTTCCTTCCCTCCTCCCTCCCTTCCCTCCTCCCTCCCCTTCCCTTAAAATGCCAACAAATACTTTAGATTACTTTTGCTTTACAGTAAAGAAAATGGGGCTAACCAGTGAGTCCTTTGCTTCTTGGATACTTTTTCAAAATTAAAAAGAAAACTAGAGCCACATTTTAAAAGCTGAAAACTAGCTAAGAAACATTGCTCTGAAGTTTAGCTGCTTAACAAGTGCTAGTGACTATATGTAAGAAACACAATGCCCCTCATACCTTCCCTCCCCCAACACTGCTTCCAAACAGGCTCATTTGAAATGTACTTTCATTTGAGAGTGAAACCAATTTACCTTTTGACATGAAAGTGAAACTTCACAGCACCCCAGGAAAGTCAGTAGCCCCTCGAGACAGGAGATGAAGGAAAAGGAGAGTACCACAGCTGAGTTTTGACTGTTATTTAAGGCTTCCTTCTCAGACATTGTTTTTTTTCTTTTGGAGACAAAGGACCAGAATAACCACTATTCTTCTGAATGACAAGGTGGTCTGCTCATTAAGACATCTCACAAATGTCTTTCAACTAGAGTATCATCTCTCTTAATTATGCATTTGATGTATACCAAGGTTTTGCCACAACATTAGAATTACTGCCTTCAGCCTAAGAGGCTTTTGCTGTCTGCATCTACTATCAGCTTGGATTACCATTAATAGAAATAGAACTCTGCTAAGATTTTTTTTTTTCAGACTCAAAGCTAATGCTAATGTTAAAACCTTTTTTGAGCACTGGCCCTCATCCAAAAGTTTAAAATAACTTGGTAGGAGCAAATATATCAATATATCTATATATATATATCACATATCTACAGAGTCCTAGTAATCTCTAACTCTAAAAATACCTTAAAATTTGCAACTGAATACAAGATGAAATTGACAAACACAACTGATTAACATGACATGATGGATCATCTGTATTCCTAAAGTCATCATCCAGATTGGAAATAAAAATTGTTCTTGCACCTGGTTATTCAGAGATACATATCCAACGTATCGGGCATATCCAATGATAGGCACCTTAAAGCAACTAGAGAAAAAAACCTCACACCTTAGTGAGATAGGAAAAAGGAAATTAGAGAAAATAAACACACTTGTAGGAATAGCCGAAGCACAAACTGTTCTGATTCTGCTGAGGGAAGAAAAAATATGTGGTTTTTTCACTTTGAGGATATACTACAAGTCCATAACAGCAGCTTACTTGCTCTAAACTAAGTAAGCTACTGACACAGCTAAGACTGCTGTAAGAGGAAGGAGAAGAATGAAGAGAAAGAGACACATGTAAAAGCACCAACAGAGTTCTGCAAATCAGCTTCAGATTCACTCACAAATGAATGCATCCACATTATCTCCAAAGAGAACTATACCTTTCGCATATATGCTTTTATGTAGCATAACCATCTGCCAAAAAAAAACAATTAAAATATCACTTGCACTGTCTAACAAACTGTCCTATAGGATGGGTTTCATCATGAACTAATTTATCATGAAAAAGCACATGCAAAGGGTATTTTTCAATTACTAATTAATGTTTTCAAAAGCCTAAATTGTAATTTGTAATTTACAGGACTAACTCCAATGCATGCAATTATAATCCCTGGCTCAATTTTTCTTTTGTGTTTGCTTAAAGTGACATGCAACCATTACAGCTCTATTAAATATTTGCAGTAGTAGAATGCAAGCATTATGCATGCTTTTAGTATTTTCGAATGTTCAGTAGAGGTTAATCAGCAGAAAAGTATGATGAAGCAGAAAAACAGAAAACAAAACTTGCAAGCCTTCCTGGATTTGCAGCTTCTGCTTTTATCTGAAAGTTCAAGACAACACAACCTTTATATAAAGGGGGTTTTTTGGTCTTCTATCTAACATCCTTTCATGCTGCTCATGCAAGTGACAGGTGAGAAACTCAAGAATATAAAATATTAAACATAGAAAGAATATATCATATTTTTTAAATTTTCTCTTTTTTGGCACTAAATACATATTAGGTTTACTTTGGCCACTTTTTAGCATTGTTTTCTTAACCTAGACTTTAATATATGTATATATAATGTATATATGTATTTTCTTAATCTAGATTTTAGATATGATGGTTAAGTTTATCGATTATAATTATGTTCAGCTGAAAATTATTAGTTCCATTTTAAGTTTAAACTCCCATATCAGACTCATGTGCTAAATGAAAAATAAAGCTACACTGTTACTTCTAGGGAATAGTCCTGCACTTTATGCTCTGATTAATTCAGTTAAATAGATTTCCAATTTATTTATGGGATAGCAGATAATGACTCAATGTAAATAAACCATTTACAACAGAGGCAATATAAGCAGATCTCTTAACTTCAGGCTATTCCAAATCCATGGCATGTTTGGTGCAGATAGGTGCATGACAAGATATATGACAAAACATGTTTATTGATCCTTACAAATACCTTAAGACAAAAATATAAGGGAAAAATACATAAGAAAGCTAGATGTTGTCTTCC